CAATCACTGTGCAAGTGAGCAAGCTTTTACTGGGAAAACATTTCTTTATCTAATCAACTTTATTTAACTCAAACTAGAACCAATACTTACTCAGTGGCTCTCCAATGTGTAGCTTCAAGTTTAAGAGAACAAAATTCTGGTCAACTTTTTTGGACCTCCAACTTTGCCTTGGTGCCTTTATCAACTCCAACTCAGATAATCCAACTGGTAACAGCAGTGGTGATGACAATAAAAAGGATTATCAAAAAGAAAGGGAAACGTCTCTCACAGCATGTATTCTTTTACAGAACTGCATGTTTAACAAGTAAACAAATATTATCTATTATCTATTTTAGATTTTTTATATTATATGTCATCCATTTCCACAAACACAATATCTAAAATCTGATTTAATTTTTTTAATTTAAATTAAGGATGAATTTGATATCAGGAATATGTTTTAAAAAGTTGGTGCATGGGTCTCCTATCATTTTAATGTACAAAAAAACCATAAAAAACACCCCCACAAAGATCACACGGCAGCCCCTGCCTGGGTTCGAACCAGGACTCTCATCAAATAGCTTGAGTCTAGCTAAGACAAGCAAAGTGAAAGCAACACTCAGAACATTGTTTTTTAGATTATCTAGCCACCAACATCTCAGTGGAGGAAATGTAGACAGCATTTAATTGGGCTATAAAGAAAAATGAATTCCACATAATTTCGGAATCATGTTGAGTTTATTGAAGTTTTAGAGATGCTGCGAGTTTATTGAAAGAGAGTCTTTGTCTTTCACAGAAAAAACTTGCATTAAAAGAAAAGGGGGGGGGCTGACATGACATGACTCTAAAATAAGACATCTAAGCCTTGTATTTACTAATCTTATGTAAAAAGTGTAGTAGTGAATAATACCCACGTACTTTACTTCTGTTTTTGTATTTGCTGTTTATTTGCTCTCAGACTGTTTAGGTTGCAGCTGAAAGAATAAGGCTACAATTTTTGTATATTGATTTTCTAATCTCACTACAGACCCTAACACTATGTTCAAAGAGCTATTATAAATGCTATATA